TGAATAGAGGAGTAACAGAAGTGCAACGGTAGAGCCCAGGCTACACTCAACGGCTGAAAATGYGACTGAGCCCCCTGGGTGGATTAGTCCGTGTTTATGAAAGATCAGGGTGAATGGTCAGGACAGGGATAACTACTGCCTTGGGGGGAACAAGCAAGGTGTTTCCACTAAGGAGAAGGAAATCCTAATGCCACAGTTCATGGGGAAATCTCACCTGGGCCAGTATATGACCTTGGATGTCCATAATCAGAAAAGACTAAGTTGGAACAGATCCAGTGAAGGGCACTTAGTATGAAAGGAACATGGACCCTMATGAGAACAGAAGACTCAAAGACCAGCTTATCTACTCCAGCAATGAAGGCGAGGAGAAGACAAGACTCCTTCCATGAGAATGAGGAGCTCTTCCATCTAAAGAACATCAGCAGCACCAGAACAGATCGATTTTTTTTTTTTCTTTTATTGGAGTTAGGACATATTCCAACTATTAAATACGTATTTTGACGTAAATGTAAGTACTGAAATAACAGAGCTAAGCAGACAGGTATCAGCAGGCAAAATCTCAATGAAATGCACTCCAGGAGCAGTCAGCTTCTTGCTTTGTTATGAAGAAAGTTACTTTTCAAAGATGTATATGATGATAGTATACCAAAATAAACACAAATGTGATTTTATAAAAAATACTATCAAAAAAGTTTTCCATGGTCTTTTATAATTTATAACTAATATACTTTCAAAACTTCTGTCTCTACCCTTTGTTCCTTWAAAAAAAAACACAGAAAGATCCATGAAGCTCTCCATAGCTCAGGCTATGTGTAGCATTGCRGGTTTTCTCTCCTACACTGCAGTTCAGATAAAGAACTAGAGGGACCTTGAAGCACCAATATGTCTAGAATAMAACTAATGCTACAATGTGTAGGAGATATAATTGTCTGCATCTTCTGGCATACTGAGGCATGGTCTCGTTACGCTTCAGAACATGGAAGAGTTTGGGTAAAATACTTTTCTCAAGCACACATCTGTAAGTCACAGCTACTCAGGATCTATTCTGAATGATGTAGTGGGAGTAGAATTTGGCCTGATGTTTTCAAAGGTTAGTTAAACAAAATACGACCTTTTTCAGGCTAGAGGAACAAAAGGGGTCAGCTCATTCTCCAGAACTACAAAAGGTCTTTCAAGGGTACCAAAGAAATAGAAGTAAAAGCCTTGAACACACTTCCTAGATGCACACATGGAAACAACATTTGTGTGTCAAGGTTTCCCATTTTCCCAGTCAGAAAAATCCTGGGAGCTTTCCAGTCAATGAGAGTGTTGCCAGTAACTCACTCCATGTGAGGAAAGTGCACAGATTCAAAAGATCAGTTTGGTCCAAGATCCTAGAGAAAGACAGTGGCAAACCTGGGGTAAGAACCAATGTCTCCTGTCTCTTGCACTGGTTAACAGTGCTTCATAAAGGATCTTTCAGAACTGCAAAAGTCTGCTGAATATGACTGAAAGTGCTATAATAACTGCTAGGGSAAAGGAAACCTAGTGCAGCTTCCCCAGTTCTTTGTGGGTAAGACTTTATACAAGTTTTTCTCTTGCTCTCAGATTGATCCTGGTAGAAGCTGTCYAGTGTTGTATACAGCAGATCAGTTATCCAAGCTAATTTATTCTTTACTGCAAGCTAGAACTCTTACTTCAGAGACAGAAAATAACTCCATATCTTGCCAAGCAAAACCAAGATATATAAATGTGACCACAAAGCACTTTTGAATCACATGTGCACTCTGCTGCTCTTCAGCAAACAGTATCATTCATATGGTGATGGGAAAATGCATAGATATCAGGCCTGATACTCAGGCCCACCAACAGTCAAAAATGAACTCAAAGCAAAAAAATTATCCTGAAGAAACACATTTATTATATTTTGCTTTCAAAGAAAGGTAAATCTTTCTTCAATTTGCAAATGATTCCCATCTCTCATATTTCACCAGAGATGTTGGAACTGTTAGTCATTCTTTAATTTCCTGGAGGGCATGGTATTCCAAAATGTAATGTATTCTACTGTAAGCATTTTTGCCAAATTTCAAAACAACTTCACAGAATAGGAGCATCTACTTTTCTGTGCTGTGAAACCAATGATCACTCAAGCCTTGCATAAACAGAGAGAAAAGGGTTTCCTTGGAAGCACAGGAGAGAACTTTTAATTTAAGGAAGTTTCAGAATGAAATCGAATTCCAATATATGTTAAACTCTTTAAACAGCATAGTAGAAATCCCTTTTAGCTTGCATGCCATAGGTTTGTTAACATGCTCAAATATTAATGAAAGTTAAAGGAGTCCAGGGGATATCTTAGTTGCTCATATTCTGAGACTTTTAAATGAAAGTCATCTTTCCCTATTCTCTTTAGATCAACATTTGTCACAGTAATTAATGAGGAAGTAATTATAAAGTAATTTGTCAGAGTAATCTGACGGCCAAAGAATTATGTTCTCAATCCTAAAGGAATATATAGCTTTAGTTTTCTGACAGATTGGATAGATGTGGGTGACATAGTACAGAGCACTTGCCTCTAATCAGGTTAAAAACTTTGACATTCTGTGTTTTCAAGCAAAGATGGACATATGCACCATCTAATTTGCCTAAAATAGCTCATACAAGAGCATTTTAACAACAGATTATTAATTTCATTTTTAACACTTTCTTTATATAAAAGTTGCTGCAGTTATCCCGGCTTTAACAAAAAAAACCCCAAATTTGTAGTTCAGTTGCAGTAGTGATCATCAATATTCACCTTACTCACTCATTGTTTGTATGAGCTGGTGAGTAAAAATCTTAGAGATTCAGTCATATCTATCAGAAAAAAAAAAAACCCATCCTCAAAATAAATATGTACCATCAGTTGAGGTACCAAAGGAAGTAAAAACAGAGAAACAAATAAAAATAAATTCATTAAAGTAAAATTCATGCTGATGTTCATAGGAGGTTCATTCTCTGCTTCAACAGCAGCTAGCATAGCCTTGGATTTGGGTTTTGTTTGCTTGTTTTCTAGGACAGGAGCCTATTACAATTTTACTCCAATAAAAACACCTCTACCTCCAGCAGGTACCACAGGGAATTCAGCCCACAGTACCTCTTGGGAGTTGCTTTCAGCATTTCCAGCAGTCACTGTCCTTAAAGGTGAACTTCTGAAGGCCGATTTGATATTGCACATTTCCTAAGAATGTCTTAAAAGCCAGGACAACACTTGTTGTGTTGCCATGTTTATATGACTCCCGTATGCTTGTTTTTAGTGTACTTTGTACTTACACTGTGGAGACCCCATGGGTTTCAGGGCTACATCTGCCTCACCYAAAATGACCAATGGCTCTTTGGTGTGTGTGTTTCTGTTTAACAGCTGTGAGTGCAGAAAAGAAGAAAAGCAGCAAAGATTCTGCTGCATTAACAGGAAGAGATGACACAGGAAGAGGTGACCACTCACTCACTCTATAGCAAGAGCCCTACTGAAGGCAGTGATATGTTTAAAACATCAAGAGTTCATGTTGACTTTAGGCTATGTGGAAACCATGCAGATCTTTAAGTCTAGTGTATTGCAATTTCTTTCTGAACTTGGAAGATTCTAGCCTCAGAAATGTGTTGTTGTATGGTCCTTGAAAGAGCAGCAACAACCAACTGCACCCGTCCACTTGTAACAGACTTTAAATGACAAGAAGCCTACCCTACACTGTATTTTACTATATGTTAAAGAATTTTTGAAAAGGAAGTATCTGCTTTACTCTTTATATAAATTCCTCGACAGGAGATAAGAAGAGGAAATTATAAACACATGGTCAAGTGGAGCTGTTCATCATTTTTTTTTTACTCTAATAGAGCACTCCTGCATTGTAAAGATAGTGACATTTTGACTGATTTTAGTGGTTTGGAGTTAGGTCTCCACAGTGAGAACATTTTTCCCTTTTCTGTTCACATAGAAACATTTTGACAGTTTACCTGTAGTTTCACAGAGCTTTCTGCAAAATAACCAGTTCATCTGCAGAGACTCCCCAATATAAACTAGACAAACTAGTGCAATCCCCTAGTTCTAACAGTAAGTTCTTTTATATCTACTTTTCCCTTCCCAACTCTGCATTTTCCACTTTCTATACTACCTTTACTGGAACCTCTCCCTTATGTTTTTGCTTTGTTTCAATGAAAGTCAAAGGCAAAGCATGACTGGCACTATGAGCAAGAGTATTTAAGTTATCAGTAGCATTTCAACAGGCTTAGGAGAGCAATGGGGAAATGAAGTGGGACAGAAGGGCAGCCCAGAGAAGAGGCAATGTGTCAGGGGTCTGGTGGGATAGGACGTTGAGGAAAAGTAATCATGGTCTGATGTGAGTATCCTGGAGTTTGCTTGTGTCCCATAGCTTTGCTAGACTTCCTCAGCGGTGTGAATGAAAGGAAGTCATAGTCTCGTCTTCCTGTGTTGCTCGCTCTGCCTTCTTTATCTGCCTTCCCTCCCCTGCTTTCCCTTTTCCCTTGCTATTATCAAGCACTCTCATTTTCCCTTCTACTCCCTCTCTTCTTAATCAGGAAAGTAAAAAGAGAAGCTGTTCTTGCCAGCTTTGCTTTGCTGTGTAGTGGTAGCAGGCATTCAAAGAACAGGTTACTCCTACACCAGCTGCTCGTTCTTTGATGCCCCGTTGAGTGAAACAGCTTTCTTTAGAGGTCCAACATACTAATTACTAATGGGAAATACAGGAATAAACAAGCCAAAGAGAGAGGAAATGATCAGAAAAGAGAGCGAAAAAGAGAGAGAGAGAGAGAGAGAGAGGAAGGATACAGAAATGAGAGAAAGAAGTATACAGTGACTGCAAGACTGATGTGGCTTATATTCTTCCCAAGGAAAAGACAGGGCACTGTAAATAGGAGAGGGCTCAGCATCTGGGGTAGGCATCAACACAGGCTCAAGTGGCTACCCCTGTGATGTGAAAGGCAACTCCATATTTCTTTTGGAGTGGCTCCAGGCAGGTGTCATAAGGATGACTCAGGTGAGTTGCAGTGCTGTGCACGCCAAGGAGGTGTCAGGAGTGGAGATAAGTGGCTGCTTGCAACATCCTCATGAGTCAGATAGGTGAGGCCAGTGGTAGGATTATCCTCATCTCCCACGGCACAAGTCGGGACACTCGCTGCACGGAATAGGTGGGTGACTTGCTGCTGTCACAGCAACCCAGGCGGTGTCTGGTATGGCCAGTATTGACAGTGCATGGCAAATGAGACACAGATTTGGGGAAAAGAGGGATCTCGGGGGTCAGAGCAGGTAACTGTGCCTGAAAAATGGGAATCTAAGCATGCAAGGTGATAGTAACACTGCTGAAACTGCATTTTTCAAAGGGAGTTGCTAATTTTCAGTGCCTGTCCCAGAGGTCTGGCATGGAGAAGCACCACGTGCTCACAACTGCAACCCAAGTTAGTGACAGTGCTGTGGGCATAGCAAGGGCTACAGAACACAAAGTGTGTTGCAGCATCATGGGCATCTCAAACTGGACGCCGGGTTCTCAGACCTCAAACAGGAGGGCTGAGCCTGGGCATCACTTCAGGGACCCAGCTTATGCTCTCCAGGCAAAGCCACCCCTTCCAAGCTACCGGCAAGGCCTCTGACCCGGTGCTGCCAGGCAGTGCTGTGTAACTTCAGCCTGAGAAACCACACGGCAATATCAAGAAAGGGAGGCTGATGTCTTGCACTCCCAACAACTTCCTTTCACTAACGTATGAGATAGAAGTGGAAAGGGAAAGACAGGAAAAGTTTACAATAATAGCAATACAACTTCGGTGGTTACTAATGAAGTAGAACTGTTTTGACAAGAAATCATTTTACAGAACAGGCCTTGGAATAACTCAGAATGTAGCTAATTTACTTGCATGTGCCTCCAAAATCCACTTCCCTCTCTGCATCCTCCAAAGTAGGCAGAGGAAGAAATGATCCTCACTCAACAGCTATTCTCTGGAATACAGACCACTGTGAAGGCACAAATAAGGAAGAGTAGAGATCCTGGCTCGATGTACTTAGAGTCTAACATAGTAAATAAACAACAGCAGGCCTCTGTTTAAAGAAAGATGGGTGATACAATGAGAAAAAGTAAGGATGCAAAATACACAGAGCTTGTGGGGTGCTCACTGGGAAAGCAATTTCGATGCATAGTTTTGTTTCTAATGTTTCTGTTAAACATTTTATATATATATATTTAATCTGTTGTTTTCTTTCTGTATAGGTGAAAATTAGGATAAACTTGTATCAAAGACCTCTTTAGCAGAATTATCCATGATTATCAAAGACCTCTTTAGCAGAATTATCCATGATTAACAGTAATGGAGGACTCAGATACTATTTACCTGAATGACAGGAAGTTCATTTTTTACTAATAAATGTATCGCAGTAGTATCTAGTCAAGAAAGAAGTCCTAATTGCCTAGGCATCAGGCCTAGATGTCCCTATAGTCCCCTACTATAGTCCCCTACTATAGGGACTGTCCTGGATTTCATCGAGTTTAAATATCACGCCACAGCTCACAGAACCAGTCAAAATTTTGCTAATTCTTCTTTGGCCATTCTTTAGCAACTACATTTCTCTCAAGTTCTCACGCACACATGGAAATCCTAACGCACGAACCATTCCCAAAGAGCAGCCTTAGGCAAGACTCAAAGTGTCCGAAGCAGGTGCTAGTCCTCAGGACAGAAGCAACAGCCCTCATAGTCTTGCTGCTCCCGTGAATCCCTCATTTTCATAGCTAGAGCAAACCAGCACACAGAGGCAAAGCTTTAAGGAAATCAGTGGGTTTGTCAGTATTCAGTTTGGTCCATTTTCTCAGTCTCAGGCTGGCTAGGCAGAAGCAATGAGTCATTCGTCCCACAAACACAAATTTCTGTGTGAGAGACATACATGCAAAAATAGCAATCAGGCAGGAAAACGAAAAGAGTAAGCATACTATTATGAAGGCAAACTCTTACTCAGGGGAATTTAGCGTTCTGTAGAATGTTATTTATTGCTTTTTTTTTTAGGAAATGAAGCCTGTTACAAGTAGGTCATGACATGCAAATACTTAGTTTTCCAGAGTGACAGTAAAAGGTGTTGCCTTTTTCAGAGTGTCATCAGAGCTGAGGAAGTTTATTCACATAAACAACCAAACAGTCATGTGAAGCAGGTTCACCTTCAAAGAGGTTTTCTTTTGAACTTTTCCAACCCCCATCTGTGCTGTATCAATGCATAAAGCCTAAATACCTTGGCAAGAAGGTGACAGTGAGTTTGTTTTTTGGAGTATGAGTTTGCTCACACAAAAATGCCCTTCCACCTTTATAAAATGGTGCGACTCTACAGCCAAACCCCACATCCGCACTGCCTTGCTCGGCTGTCCGCTTTCCAGCCTCTGCATTAGCTTGCAGCTGTGATGAATACCAAAGCTGCAGAGGGAAAACAAGAGTTGTGCTCGGTTTTGTTTTTACATTTACGGCTCCAAAAGGGACATGCCTCTTCCTCTGGAATTAGTGCACTGTTTTTCCGTTTTGCTCCCTGTGCAAACAAAGGTCTGGATACGGTGTTTTCCCTGGACACCAGGAGAGGCTGCGTGTGGGCTGGCAGAGTCGGACACACAGCCTGGTTTGGCACCAGCCCTTGCTCAGCTCAGCCACTTCCCTCACACCCCTCACGGTTCAGCAGGATGCCTCAGAGCACTCAGTGACACAGGGCAACCCCTCAGGCAGGAGTAATCCCTGACCCTGCTTTGATTCCCCGCCAGGAAAGCCCCCAAATGGCTACGGAGCAAAGGAAAGAAAACATGTGGCTAAAAGAGCCACCCTGCTCCTCGCCCAAGCACCGCCAAGGGCCACGTATCAGCGGACACCGCAGAGGGAGACACCGCGGCCGCCCAA